TGTAGGTGTATGGATATTATCCTATCACTGACAGCATTGTACTTCAGGACAGATCTTGAAACACTCTTTGTGATGATGAATGCCACACCATTTCTTTTCCATCAGTTTTTCCCAGCATAGTAGATCATATGGTTGTCTGATTCAAAATGGCCAAAAACAGTCCATTTCAGCTCACTAATGCCTAGTATATTGATCTTTATGTGTTCCATTTCATTTTAGACAACTTCCAATTTTTCTCAATTCATACTTCATACATTCCATGTTTCAATTATTAATGGATGTTTGTATCTGTTTCTACTCATTTTGAGTTGTGCCACATCAGGCAATGGAGGTCCCAAAAGCTTTACTCTATCCATATATTAAGGTCATTTCTACTTCTGAGGAGTCAGCTCCTCCCTAGGCAAACTTTGAGTGCCTTCTGACCTGATGGGCTCATCTTCTGGCACAATATCGGACAATGTTCCAGGATTATTCATAAAGTTTTTCAGTAATAGATCAGACAGTGTTTTACTGCTATTCATAAGGTTTTCACTGGCCAATTGTTTGAGAAGTGGATGGGCTCTTCCATCTTCTGAGTCTGTCTTAGACCAGAAGCTCCTCTGAAACCTGTCCACCATGGGTAACCCTGATGGCATTTTACAACACCGGTGGCATAGTCTCCAGCCGCAGCAACACATAAGTCACCACAGGATGACAAAATGACAGACAAGTTCATCTCCCTTAGTTGTTCCTAAGCCTTCTGCACCTGTCTACCTTGGGCAATGGCCTTAAAAGAGAGCTGGCCCCAAGCAAAAAGCAGCCTCTCAGCTCTGGGCCCACCTACCTCAGGGCCCAGACTTAATACAGAGCTGCCCCCAAGTGAAAAGCAGCCCCCAGCCCTGGGACCACCTACTTCGGGTCCTGTCCTTAAAACAGAGCTGCCCTCAAGCGAAAAACAGCCCCCGAACCCCAGGCCCACCTACCTTGGGCCCTGACCTTAAAATAGAGCTGGACCCAAGAGAAAAGCAGCTCCCAGCCCTGGGCCTGCCTACCTCAGGCCCCAGCCTCAGTATAGAGCCTTTCCAAGCAAAAAGCTGGTAACTTTATAGAAAGCTATTTCCTGAAGTACAGAAGAATAAGATGGGCATTCCCTTCTGGAAGACAGATTCAAGCAATAATGCTTCAAGTGTGTGGTATGAGAAGAGTTCAGTACTTTCTATCTTAGCCATAACAATTTTTCACATAACTGCCATGAGTCGGGACCAACTTGATAGCAGTGAGTTTTTTTTTTTTTTGAATGTCAAAAAGATAGAAACAATGAGGTAGTTCTATTTTATTGCTGGGTTTCACTATTGCAGGAAAAAAGTATTTAGTAAACTAATTTAATAGGGCCCACTGAAACAAACTCAAGATGTCTACCTATTTAGTGAATACTCCAGTAGAGTGAGAAATGGATGCTCACTCTGCTTTGCCAATCAACCAAACCACTATAAGAATAATTTTGGTCACAGAAACAAAGACTAGAAGGGTAAACCAATAGTCAACCAATTATCTCACTTGAAAGTATTTAGTTATGACCAATAACCTTCTACACATGTTCTATGTATTTGCATGTGTGTGTATATATACGTAAATACATACCAATTTTTGTTGTTTTTGTTGTACATAATGGCTAATATTTCTTGGACACTTTCCATGTACTTAAAACTAGTTCTTTTAATATAACTTCTCCTTAAATATTCAGAATAACCCTTTGAGGGAGATAACAGTATTATATATGTTCATTTGATGAGGAAAGTAAGGTCTAGAGATGTTATGTGCATAATCAGTAGAGGATGAATCTGAACTGAGGTAGCTTGACTTTATAGCCTATACCATTTACATGGACAAGATATTTAGTATTTAGTCATCTTGCAAATTTTTAAAAATATTAAACATTTACAATATATTTAAATCTATCTCCATTCCTTTTCATCACTGCACAACACATTTACCATTGGGTCTTAATTGAAAAATACATTATTTTTAAACATTTAGATTGTTTCCAATATTTTTCCTTTTGGCATTACCATGTGCCATGAAAATCTTTGTGTACACAAATGTAAATGTACACGTATAATTCAGTAGGGTAGATTCTTTGAGGTTAACTGTTATAATGAACTTTAATAATTTATTTTAATCTGTTTGTGTCTAAAAGCACATCCTAACATTTATTTTTTATTTTTTAATTTTTTAAAAAAAAAAAGCAATGTATTTTATTTCCCCATCAAAATTTATTTCCCCCCAAATTCTTATGAACACCTGACACAAGTGAAAATTTAAGATTGATCATCTGAAAGATAACATAAAAAATCTAGTTGTTCTAAATGTCATATCCCTGATTATTAAGATGACCAACTGTCCTACTTATAGCACTGAAAATTCTATGTCCCAGAAAACCACTCAGTTCCAGGCAACCTGGGGCACATGGTCATACTGATTATTAATGAGCCATTTCATTATTTCATATTTTTATCCAACATTTTAATTTGCCTTTCAGTGAACTGTCTATTTGGGTCCTTTGACTATTATTTCTATTGTGGTGTTTATCCTTTTTCTTTCTGACCTAAAAATATTCTTTATATATCACTTACGTTGCAGATTATTCTCTCTCATACTATTGTTGATCTTTTAAGTTTTTTTTATGATACCTTTTTGGTACACATATTTTACAATATAAAAATTTTAAACTCACTAATTTCTTCACAAGCAGCTAAGGTTTGTGTCTTATTTAGAAAGGTCTTCTACAAGATAATAATAAAAATTTATTCACATTTTCACCTAATGTTTTATAAATTTTATTTTTGAGATGAACTCAGGGTCTATTTTTTTCATATGATTGATACATTATGCATATTTAATGTTTTGTTCTTTGCAGATTATGTTAAATTTATACCTACACCTGTGAAAAACTATCAGCTTTACAATGCTGAATCATCTCAACTAGGAACTGATAGAGTTCTCCATTCATTTCAGTGCTCTGTTAGTATTTCAAGGAGTTCTAGTGGTGTGTTGAAGGAATTGGTTTGATAACCAAAAGGTTGGTGGTTTGAACCCACCAGCCGCTCACATAAGAGAGATGAGGTGGTCTGCTTCTATAAAGATGCATAGCCTTGGAAACTCAATGGGGGTTGTCATGAGTCAGAATCAATTTAATGGCAGTGGCTTTGGTTTTTTGGTTTTATGATGTGAAAATTTTATAAGTTTTTATCAGGAAGAACTTGACATTTCTTTTTTATAGTTTACGGCTATTGTGAATAAGATCATTTTTTTATTACATCCTCCAATTGGCTAATGATTTTTGTAACTTTGTTTCTAGGCAATCTTTGTTTCTTGACAAACTCTAAAGCAGTTCCGTTCATCAGTAGATTCTCTTGGTAGACGCCACCCTGCAATGTTTATAACTAATTTGTTTCTTACCTAAGAGCTCCAGATAAATGCTGATGAATGGAAGGCTTCCATTCCTTCATCATGTATGATGCTCATTACAGTCTTCCTTTGTCAAGCATTTTCTTCTCTTCTAATTTGGTAAGACTTTTTATTTTTAAAAAAATTAAAACTACAAACTGAGTTTTTCAAATATTCTTTGGCATCATTAAGATATTTACATTTCTCATTTCATCTCAAAAATTTTCAAACTGCCAGGGTCCATTTCATAGACGTATTTTTTAAAATATGGACTTGTTTCTTGGAGGATATAAGGCCCAAAACAATCAAACAATGGAAAGAAAATGGGTGTGCTAATGTCTAAGTCATGTCAGATGGGGAGGTCAAAAAGGAAGTAAGTTTATGCTTCCCAATTACAACAAAACACCAACTCACTTTTGATTTAATCGTTTGAATGTGTTGCTCCACTTCTTCAATATCTTCAGTGTTTTCTAATCGTTCATAAGCAGCACTTCTAGTACCTTTTATCAGATTTAAAGGTAACGCTGACATGCCATAGGCCTAGAAGAAACAAAATTGAAATGTACTTTAGTAATATTAAACACATCACACACAATTCTCAGGCAAAAATATCCAAGTAACAATATAGACTGAGCTGTTGTGAAGGTGTATGATCACTGAAAAATAAGACATACGAGAATGAATCATAACTATGTTGTCTCATAATTCTCCTGTTTATTTCACATTTAAACAGAATTACATTTATAACATTATCACTAGTATAGATAATATGTATTCCTCAAGCTATAATACTGGTGTAAATATAATACTTTATCAAAGTAATAAATTACAATTTCAGCCTAATCAGTGGTTAAGAGAGTGTGAATTAGTAAAAATAATTTACAAAACTATTTCCTAGGAAGAAAAATTTTAAGGATACTATATACATTAAATTTTTAGTATAAGGGAAGTATTTTAGTATACTTATAATATCTAACATACCAATTATCTGTATTTAGTTTCTTTAAAAGTTTCTAATCTTTTTGCTAAATATTTTAAATATTCTCCTTTAAGCTTTCTTATAGGATTTTCCAATCACAATCATCCTTATGACATATTTGTTAGTTCTAGTATTTCCACTCTGGTGGCAAAGTGAATAAAGCATTTGGCTGCTAACCAGAAGGTCAGCAGTTCAAACCCACCATCTGCTCCATGGAAGGAAGATGGGGCAATCTACTTCTGTAAAGATTTACAGCTTCAGAAACTCAGTGGGGGTCACTATGATGGCAGTGAGTTTGGTTTTTAAATATTACTGAAAAAAGTAACATGATAGTCTTAAGACTATGATGAACATGTAGCATTACATAATGACTATTTACCAATTCTTCATATCCACATATTATTTTACCACTAGAATTCTGCTGCTTTTCCTAGTAAGTGTCAAGGCAATGATATGTTGCAAGACTCAGTTTGTGTCCAGGTATGTTCCTAGTTCTCCCAACCACTTCCTGTAGTACTTAAGGTTATATGTTACCTTGGCTGGGCTGTGATTTTGAGTGGCTAGGCAGCTGGATACAGTTAATCCCCATGATGAGATTGCAATCATCTCCATGGTAGAATCTGCTGTGAGTAGCTAGTAGTTTCCTTTGGCATGTAGTCTGCTTCCAGTATATAAGGAGGTGGTTTGAAAAAGGTCTCAAGGTTTTGGCATCCTCCATTTGTCCTAGTCTTTATAACCAGTGGCCTGCCATGTTGCCTGCCAATTTTGGGACTGCTCCTGGACTTGAACTAGTGGTCTGTTGAGTTGCCTACTTATCTTGGGATTGCGCCATTTTACCTGCTGCTTTGGGCTCATCAGTCTCAGAAGCCAGCAGCTGTCTGAGTTAGGAGGTGCCTCTAGCTCCAGTAGGCTTGGAATAAGAGGCAGAGCTGAAGCCCAAGGCCCAGGGGCCTTCACCCAGCCCCAAGAGCTGGCAATCTGAATTTGGACTTCTAGCCTCCTAAACTGTAAGAGAATAAATTCCTATTTGTTGAAGCCATCCACTTGTGGTATTTCTGTTATAGCAGCACTAGAGAACCATGACATCTCCATTGGGCTTACTTTACCTCAATGCTTTGTTAGTCTGTGTTGGAAACATTTGAGTCCTTTAATATAATGATCTCAGTACTCACTACCATTTCCCAAGGAATCTCTTGGTCAATGTTAAAAATGCAGCCCTTATATACAGCCTATTGCCAGATAAAAGGACATCTGTATTCTCCTAACTGGTCCGCCAGTCTCATTTTCTGCAAATTCATCTTCTACTACTTCCAAAGTCACCTCTCTGTAACACCAACACCAGATTATGTCAATCTTCTAATTAATACCCTTTATAATTCTCCAGGATTAATAAGAATAGTTTTCAAAGTGCTCTGGGAGGTGTTCCTAGGATTCTAGAAGGTGCCTTTAGGGCCATTACAGAAGATGGCATGGCAATTGGTCAATGCAGAGCCCTGGGGTCCTGCTGCTACATTAATCAGAGTAATTCTACCTTGTTCATCAATTTTACATAGCAGAACTTTCTGTAAGAATTTTTTAAAAAGTTGTTTTGCTACTTTTTTGCAATGAGAAATAGAATCACCAGTCTTGAGCAGACATTCTGGTCGTATAATACTGACCTAAAAGCCCTTCATGACTTCATGTCTACCAATTTGTCTAGCCTTATCTCGTGCCCCTGCCATTTACACATCTATGTTTCACTTGTACTGAAATTTTCACTGTTCTTAAACCACTTCCAATTTTATACTATTGCAGGCTTTGTGCAGTATGTATACTTTTGCACATGTGGTGCCCTCATCTAGAATGCTTGCCTTCTCATACTATTTGATTAGCAAATTGCATTGCATATCAGGTCTCAACTTAATTACACCATATCTGAGAAATCTTCCCTGACTTCTTCTAAATGTGCCTTGCTTATAATTTAATTATAGGACACATCATACTATAATGGTCAGTATCTTTGTTTTATCACTAGATCTGCCAAATTTGACTAATCAGAATAGCTAGGGCTTCTGAGCCAGACTATTAACACATGAAATAGACTATTTCACACTTAAGGACTGGGCCTAATTCTTTTTCTTCCTATCTTTACTCCAAAAAAAAGGTTCATAAATTAATAAAGTTCTCAAAAAGATATTATTTGGCCAAAAATATTTTAAAAAGAGAGTTCTTAATCACAGCAATTAATTCCTTACACAGAATTGATATGTATTTTTAGAAGAGCTGAACTGAATTCCTAAATAGCTTAATATAAATAATTTTAGAAAATAATATGTCCTCAGCAACATTATATGGTATGATGTGGCTGTAAAGCAATGCCTTCTTCTGAATTTTTAGTTGTCTGAAGAGAGCAAGTAAATGAAAGTAACCAATATTTTGGTTCCTGAGAGCTTTTAGCTTGTTTTTAGATTGTATGTTTAAGTCTCAATGATTATCAGGAAATTTTACTATAAAGTTTAGGTTATGCTAAGCTTGACATACATATTATACAAAACATTTAATCACTATAACTTTTAAGGTCTTTAAACAAAGATCTTTTGAAATTAACTTCACACTTTCTGGAAAAAATGTATGAAGAATGCTTTTCAGAAATGTAAAACTTTTATTGCCTACTACTGCCCTCTAGTGAACTGCTGGAAAATCAACAAGGCTAAGAAGAAAATGCTTCTAGTTAGGCCGTAATTGTCTCCAATTTCATTTGTTTTGATAAACAAGCTTAAATTACCATTTGTATCTTAAAACCAAAAGTTTGAAAGAATATCTAAAAACTACAAACATTTCTAATAGCTTTTTGCACAGCTTACTTTAAAATAGCACCTTTATTGCCTACATACCTCTTTTCTCTCAAGAACAATGATTTCCAAACTACGAACCCTAGATTATCTACCAAAACCAAACCAAACTCACTTCTATCAAATCAATTCTGACTCATAGTAACTCCCACTGGGTTTCCAAGGCTGTGAATCCTGACAGAAGCAGACTGTCTTATCTTTCTTCCATGAAGCAGCTGGTGGGTTCAAAGCACTGACCTTTTAGTCAGCAATCAAATGCATTAACCACCACACCACCAATGCTCCTGAAATTACCTACAGCAAAAGGCAAACACTAGCAATGCCTTTATATCGAAAACATCATCTTGCCCATATTTTTAACACCTGTTACCTAAGAAACTATGCTGTTATGACTAATAACATATTTAAGACTGTCCATTGATTCTAGGGTGCGTATATAATTTCTCACTAATAACATCCGTAAAATTTGAATGAATTTTGAAATTGAGGGCATCTTATAATCACTGACAGAGCAAAAGTCATGACATAGTTGTCATTATTGGCACATTCACAAATTTGGTCATAGCTAGTTATTTCATACTTCAATTTAGTATGTATAATCTTGGTACACTAAGTATAACTGCCACTTAATATGTCTTATAAAATAGTATTATGATTTAATATCGAAACAAAAATTTAATGTGTAAGGAAAAAGGCATAGACTCAAGGAACATAAATAATGAGGCAAGTATTCTTTGGAACAATGAGTACAACTCCATATTTTCTTGCAAAGTAACAGTTAAGTGCTTTATCAGCTTAAGGAAGATCACCAAAGTAGAAGCTATGTTGCATTTTGTTATTTAGGTATGTGTAAAGGAATTGCTTTTCGTAAGGAATGCCAAAACAACAACAAGAAAAATAAAAAAAAAAACAGTTTAAATTTACAGAATGGGTGTGTTAGCAACTCGGAAAAAAATTAAGAGACAAGTGTGCAGCACTCTTACCAAAAGCTTAATCATCAATTCTTTTGATAGCACAAAAGACAATATTGTATAGTAAAACACAGGCAACAATAACCAATTTAAAAAGTGATTTAGAAGACTTAGACTACAAATGTAAAGTTTTAGGAATAACTTTCCAATTTATTGCATTTATATTTTCCTTGTTATGTAAACAGAAATGTGATATAATTTTTAAAATGTGTCTGTATGTCTAAAAGTTCTTTCACTAAATATAAAACAAAGAGTATAAATGGTAAGAAAGCACTGGCAGTGTTTTTTTCCTTTCAGTGGTATATAAAATAAAGGTGCATTGTATAATCAATGACATAGATTCAGTGAAATAATAGCCTCAGTTAAGAGAACTGTCTTCAAGATTATAGAATCATGGCTCTAGTTCACAGGGACAAGATAACTGCTGAAAGAAAGAAAATATTAAATATTTTATTCCTATTTTTGAATTGGATCCTTAATCATCCTTTAAATTTCCATCAGTTTATATTTACATTATGTGTATATGTGTGTGTGTGTGTGTGTGTAATTCATAAACATATCCTGGAGAACATATTTAATTTCCTACTAAGAAGCATTTATAATAAAAAGTTCAGCTGTCATAGCCTCTTTAGGTGCTTTGGTGGTCAACATGATTTGATATATGTAGTAGTTAAGTTTGTGTGTCACCTTGGCTGGGCCTGGTTTGGAGTGGCTGGGCAGCCGGAACTAGTTATTTCCCATAGTGAAATTGGTAATTAA